ACCTAGCACCACTTGCTGATCATCTACAAGCTTTACAGTGACATTTCAACGTAGGCAAAATACTTTTTTTAAAAGCCGTCACACCTACCGTAGATATTTTGATTTATTAGGCACTTCCTTTAACTTAAGGCCTCTCACCAGAGGGATCTTAGATTGTTAAAGCATAGGATCCAATAGGAGTCCATCCACGGGGGCTGGAGTCTATCTTAACTGCCGGTGGGCGAGAGGCAGTTCAGACTCTGAACAGATTGCCTGTCCATCACAGGACCACACAAAGACACACAACCTATCCTACTGGCAAATTAGAATCAGCAAAGAACCACACACAGACTGGGAAAACATGCCAACTCCAATCAGAAAGAACCACCTGGGAATCAAACCAGGAACCCTCTCACTGTGTGTAGAGGGCACAGTTTTCTTTTTGAAGTTGCCATTACCACTGCAATTATTGAATTCAGTTTAAGGGATCTTAGATTACATAGACTGAAAAGTCTACTTACTTGAAAGTACCAGAAACTGCTTCCAATTTTTTTGTCATACCTCTTCTCTGCTACTTCTCATCTTTTTTTTTTTGCCAATCTGCTCCATCTGTCTCAAGAGTCTGTGTCTCATTGTTTCCTCACTGTCCCCCATTACCTCTCTTTTCCTTTTCCGTTTGCACCTGCCTCCGGAGTGGCATTATGACTCATAAAGACAGACGGGTATAAACCCTTCCCTAAATGGATAAAAATTCCCCTCGGAGAATTGATCACAGGCCTTTGTTGCAGGTGATGAACTCATGTGGGGATATAAGCTTATAACAGATTTGTTGTCTTGGTTAAATGTGTGAATGTTCATTCGTCAGGGTAAAAAAAGAAAAAAAAAAGAGAAAAGAATTGGACTATGAATCTAAGGGTTTCCTTTTTTGCCATCTTGAACCTTTGAAATACATTTTCTTGGCTGTGAGATGAGGTCGTTGTCGGGGCTCCAGGCACTCGTGAAATCTGAAGTAGGAGGGAGTGGGAGCTACATATCCAGCATAAGATTGCCAGCACCGGTTATTACTGCCTTTAGCAAAGTAATAAATGGGTTTTAGAGGTAAATTCTCACTTAGATATACAAGACCACAAATGTAGATACGCTGTAGACGTACAAGCGTTCCTGTGTGTCTGTTAGCTGTCAAGTCCCACGGCTAGCAACATTATTAAAGTCGTCAATCACCGCTCCCACAGTCCTGTAATATTATTGTGTCGGCATTCGTGTCATGTCTCATGACTAATATAACATTATTTACATCGCCTTCGCTTTGCAAACACGGATTCCCTCATATCGATGTAATCTATTTAGAAGAAAACAGTTGCTCGTATTTGCCGCTGATTAGAGGTTGAAGTGTGAAGGTAGCACTCTGATGCGTCTTGTCGGGGTCAGAAACAATAAAGTGGGAAATGCACTTCGTTAATAGATTGAAGTTTTATAGAAAGGCGCATTGTAGAAGGTGTGGGCATGTGCCTTGGGGTCAAATTGAACTTTCACGTTCTCTTTTGGTTATGATTTGAATTTTTGTGTAATATTTTTGACGTGTGATCAGTAACCTGAGTTACATGCTCATCAGAGGCTAGCACTTTTTATTTATCCATTTGAATAATTTTACATAACATTTCCTGACAGAAATTAAAGTAAGAGACATCACAATAAACACACATTTACAACAGGCAGAGTTGACGGTATCTATGATCTGTGGCTAAGTAGGTTTTTCCAGAGAGGAATTCAAATAGACTTCTCTTTCCAGCAAAATTTTATCCCATCATCCTCTCCATCAGACAGATATTGTGAAATAAAACTCCACCTTTGTGCCAAAGTGTCATAGTTAGCCGCAGGCTTGCTGTCATTCGCGACATTGTGTAGACTTGTTTCAGTCTCGGGACCCAGTGACTTATAGTTGGTGGTTTTACATCTCTCCAGTGCACGGTAAGCATTTTCTCTGCTCCCAGCAAAAGACAGTATGTGAGTTAAAGTCATTGCAAATACTGTGTGGGGAAAAAAAAGAAAAGAGTTGGCATTCTTGCTGAAAAACCTTTATGGTTTCTTAGTGCTCCATAATGATGTTCGTACTGCTAAAGTGTTGATATTCACACCTCTGACCACATAAACGCAGCTCCGAGCTCACCTCACTGGATTCCATGTCTCAGATTTGAAGATTTGAGCACCCTATAGCGCAGGATACATAATAAAATAATTTCATAGAAACTAACAAAGCAGCCCTTAAATCTTGGTCAGGCATACGGCATAGGAAAAGATTAATAAAGATGATAACCAGGATACAATATCAAGGATAATTCGGCTTTTTCTTGAATAAGGGAAAGGTAAACTCCTTTTAGTTGACTTCTGAACACATTTGATCTAAAAGTCCTCTCCACCATGGTATCACAAACAATACAGAAAACCTTAACTCTGTACTCAAATAATCTGCATATTAAAGCTTTTCTTTACATTAATTCTTTAATCAACATTCCACAGAACAAAAGATTTGTTTTGTTAAAGGATCACTACCAGGACAGAGTTCACTTACCTGATCTATTCCAAGAATGTGATCACAGCATCACTTTCTTCAGAAGTTCGGGTGTGATAAACCTTGAAGGACCTTTTTTTTTAAGTATAAGCTTCATGTGGAAGCCTCACAGGAGAGTGTGACAGTTAGGCTGACAGTTACAGACAGCACCAAAGGCAAGCAGTGCAGCCTAATTAGCTTAGTCTTCATTAGACCTGTTAATGACTTCGGTGGCGACGCTTCCAGAACCACCTGCCACTACCACACAGATGTTTAGCCCAAATGCTTTGAGAGCAGAGTAATTCACGACACACGAACACAGCCATTGGGAGGAATTAACTGCGATGGTGTGCTTGCTATGTGGGTAAAGAAAAATCAAACGCTGATCTGATCGATGGGTTAGTGAAGTGGTCCTAGTGCCACTGACGCATCAGCCTGAACTCTGTGGGAAATCAGAACTTCTGACACCTCACAGGGAAGCGACTGCTTTCCATCTCTCATTACAGATACTATAACTTGTATATAAAAGAGTAGCCTGAGGGCTGCTAGTTGGTACAAGGGGTTGGAACTGTTTCCTCGAAGGGAGAGGGCTCCTAGTTCGAATCTCAACCGGCCACCTTTCTGTGTAGAATTTGTTCTTTCCGTGTATGACGTCTCTCTGGGTACTCCAGCTTCCTCCCACCATCTGAAAACATGCACGTTAGGCCAATTAAAGACTGTAAATTGCCCGTAGGAGTGAGTGTGTGCATGTGTGGTTGTTTGTCTCTGTGTCTCAATGGCCAGCTGGGATGGGCTCCAGCCCCCCTGCAACCATACTTGGAATAAGCCGGGATAGAAAATGGAGGTGTTTGGAGGAGGTCTGTCCATACAGAAGGGAGCGACTGTAGAAACTGCACACATGCACTTCAATAAATACAAAAACAGTCTTTATTGGGATGCTTTGCCAGTATAGTCTCTTATGCATGTTTTCTTCTGCTACCTCAGTATGAAGACAATTATGTGCATATTACAACGGATGCAATGATTCATCACGGCCACAAACTCCCAACACATGAAATAGAAACCCAGTTATGATGGCAGGAAGCAAGAAAGAGGAGTGGAGCAGAGCCTCTGCCTCTCCTGTCAGCCACTAAATTTGAGCGTTTCCCTTGAGACGACCGCATGTAAACCGCCATTTTAGCTGAACTTTTATAGCTGCTGATCACACCTATCTCCTCGCAATGGCTGAAAAACATCATTTAAATAGCAAGGTCATGCAAGCGATCTTTAACAGAGTAATCAGCTGTAATGAAGCTGCCGAGAGGATGCTGTACCGACGACTTTTATTTAACCCAAACCTCAGGCCCATCACCCCTCCCTTGTTAGAAGCCAACAATTACACCCATAAAGCACATGTTTATCCACTGTGTCAAAGAATAATGCTGCTTCTGGGGATTATATTCCTCCATTCCATCGAGACGACAGCCACATGTCTCAAACCTCACATGAACTACATCCTGCCGACGGGTTTTTTCCCTGGTTAAATTCACTGACATTCTCCGACATGGCTGCAGAATTTCTTTGATTTAAAAGGGGCTATTTCTGTCGTTCAAAGCCTTAAAACCGGCTCATCGGAGATGATCTCAACACACGCAGCAAAGGGACTTTTTAGGCAAATTTCGTTTGTCTTGCATTTGCTGAAACACTCATTTCATAAAACTTGCTTTTTACCGTCATTCCTAAAAGAGACTCATTATGGTTAAGCCTTAATGCAGCTTTTCCAGAGGGAGGGAGCTAATGGATGGGTCACAGATACACTACTTCTGCACATGAGCCAATGCCATACTGTGGGCAGTTTGATTCCTCCAAAGCTTTTGCAGTAATTATCCGTTGTCCCATTGTAATGTGATGCTACAGCAGTCGGTCTGTACACAAGGTGAAGCCATAAACCCGTTAAAGTGGTTTAAATAAAGGAATTGTCGTTTGACCTGGACATAATGTTAGACTTGACCACAAGTGCAAAAAACATTAAGCAGCTGAAAGATGTATTTGACACCTCAGAAATTCAGTTTAGGCCTTTGAAAAAGACTTGTTTTCAGATCTGTCCACCTGTGAGCAAATTAGGATGATGTACCTTTTTCTTAAATTATGATTTGATTCATATACATGGGCTCAGAGGTATTTTTAAGGATAATAATCTTGGTGAATTGCTTTGCTTTGATTTATTAGAAACAATCAAGTGTCAAACTGCTCTCAAAGGGACCTTTTTTTTTTTCACCTTAACTGTAGTTGGGAAGAGTAAGAGGAAGAAGTAGTGAGGAATTCTCATAAGGGGAGCTAAGCTAACATCTAATGAGAGCCCAGCACCCCCCCCATCCCTTTTTTTTCAGCCATCTAAAACAACTCAGAGTTTAATCATTGACTATAATCTGGATTGTGATTTCGATTGCCTTCTCTTTTTTTCAGAGCTTTCTTTTTTGTGCTTAACTATTTTTTGCTCGTCAATATTAACGCGTGCTCTGTCTGTCCAGCTTCCATCGAAGCCTGCCTGGGTCACCTGCTGAAGAGACGGGCGGCCGGATTTCTCCGCAGTGACAAGATAGCAGCCCTCTTCACCAAGATCGGCAAAGTTTACGACACCGCCGGCGACATTTGTCGTAAAGTGCAAGAGCAGCTCCAGCAGCAGTCTGACCTCACCAGGTGGGTCACGCAGATGTTTTCCTCCCGTTGTTTTGTGTCCAACAGACAACTGGTCACATGCATCACAGAGGGACCACTCACTGAATGCCATTTAGGATCTGCTTTAGATTTATTCAGTGCTGCTAAAATAAAATCAGCCAATCAATTGTGGTCACCTTATTCATGTGCAGACCATCCAAATATACTTTCATGTCAATATTTTCAATTGAGAGCAAGACTTGCTTTAACCTTGGTTTAGGTTAATCTGTATATCTCTATACATTTGTTTAGCATCTCTTTATCCTTTACATTAAGGTTGTATCCAGAATATTCCATTAGATATCTCGTTTCAATCAACTGAAAATTCACAAAAATGCATGTCTTAAATAGTTATTTAATTGAGTTGAAAGACAAACATTCTTGCCACAAGATCTTTTCCCTTTGTCTGTCTTTTGAAAAAAGGTTGACCATGAACACTGATAAAGCTTATCTGCTCGAATACTTTTTTTCTTACAACATACTTATGAGTTGTCAGCCTCTATATTTACATGCAGTGCTAGATTTAGCCATGGTTGCGTCTCGATTGGCCCTTTTAGTTGAGCGAAAGTTTTTTATACAGTATGAACACAGGGATTAAGTTATGATGTTTGGTGGCAAAGAGCTTCTGTTTCAGCTTTTTAGTGTTATGCCACATAAGAAAGAAAAGACAAATATTTCAGTTTTTGCATAGTTTCCAAATTGACTGGTGAATTGGATCAGATCACAGCTACGCATGTTTGTAACTTCTAGGCTAGGAACAGTGGAGCATGTGCAAGGACCTAAGCCAATTTGATTCCAAATGAGCTTGCACATACATGAGTAATTTGACCCCAAACCACATTAACTAAGTGTATTATCCTGAGTGTGTGTTTTTTCTTGTTTTGAATGTCTTGCCCAGTGTCTTCCTCTCAGTAGAAGGCAGAGGAAGCCCTGCAGAAAAAGATTCTAGATAAGAGACCCAAGCTAGCAGCGGCTCAAAATGAAGTATTTCCTTAATTGCTGGAAACAATTCAAGCATTCATAGCAATTAAAGTCTTAAGTCAGCTGCAAATGTGACACGTAGCAAAAATCAACAATAGCATGTCGCCTCAAAGTGCAAAGAAAGTGTCAGGTTTTTTTTTTGACTGGGAAAAAACTGTCCTCGTGGCTCAATTCTTAGCAGCTTTCAATCCGTCACCATTCAGGCAAGACTATTTGAAAGTTCTTCACATAGCCCCAATCCCAATTAAAAGAAACAGAGACAACACATGCCCCTCTCTCTGGCTTTCAGTATATGGAAGACCCTTTTACCAACCCTAAAAATCTTAAATTTTATTTAAAAAAACAGGAAACTCCACTGAATAAAGAATTTTACTGGACCTTATCGTCACATCTGCCTTTAACATTAATGTCATTAACGGTTCCATATATTTTTAACGTATTTGAATAGTTTTCCTGTGTGAATATTTGCTTGTACGCCAGGTCAGTTCCTCCATGTAAACCACACCTTAAAGATACACTCCGTCAGTATCAGACACAGTCTCTGTTTAGCCCAGCGCTTACTGAGGCTAAGCAATCCGTGTACATAGTGAGATAAGCCTCAGGACTGTGCCGAGGTGTGTGTGTACACACATGTGAGATGTGGACGCTTCTTGTCTTGCTGTGTGTAACTGTGCTCGCAAAGAATATGATAAACTGCTTTATCTTCGAGCACTTAGGCACCAGCTGAGCTGTTTGCATGCCCATTAATTGTCCATTAGCCTGTGCTTCATGGCTACTCCGTCTCTCTGGGGTTTGCAGAGACACATTTTCAAATGGCAGAGGAAAGGCGTTGGGTATCAAGGCATGGTAGAGCGGGCGGAAAACAGCATATGGTGGATGGAATATGCAAGGAGGCCACGGGTGTGACACGGGTGTGACACGGCTGTGTCACGTCGCGCCAGTCAGCAGATTTCGACAAGTTTTAAGGCGCGCCCGGCGTTTAGCTCTGCCGTCCCCGCGTCAGCCACTGCGCTCCCTTCATCCGTCACATCTCATTGGCCTTTATTTCCCCAGACAGAAGGCGCACAACACAAAAGCCTGTTGTGTGTGTGTGCGTGCGTTTGTGTGTGTGTGTGTGTAACTCTGGTTCACACAATTCACACCCATCCACCAGAATCCATACATGTATACATGCAAACTTCACAGGCACGCACACACACACACACACACGCACGCTCGCAGGCACGTTACCGCCCATCTCCCCGTCAACCTACCTCAGGGCTTCATCTCTCATTTGCCCTGGTTTCCATGGTAACGTGGCTTGCTCCAACCGAGCCAAAAAAGGGAGAGAGAAAGAGCACGGTAGGAAACGTGATGGGGAGAAAACAACGGAGAAGACGTTAACATTGTAAAACAAAAAAAACCCAAACATTTTATATCCATTAAGTGAATGGTAACTACAGACGAGCGGTCATGGTTGGTGTGCATCAGTGTAAGTGTGTGTTTGTGCCGCTCTATGTGTGTGTATGAGTGTGTGGGTGGTGAACGGGGGAGTTTACCTCAACTTCTATTTGCTAATAGCTATCAGAGCTACACAATGCCATGAGTCTTTTTTTTTTGTAATGGTCCCTCTTGCTATTTACTCTCCTGGCATAACTCTCTCTGAATCGTCAGTCTTAAAAAAACAAAAAACAGGACCAGTGGTCTAAAGAACAAGGCGAGCATATCCCCTAAGTCCAATTATTTTTGTTGTTCTAATGGAGTAACAGCTCACACACATGAAAAGGGTCAATTTGACTCTGTTCTAAGTGTTTTAATCCACTTTCAAGCAGTTCGAGTAACGTGGCAGCTCGCAACGTTACTCTATAGTTAGTTGATCTTTTGAAATATAATTATAATCAATTCCAGCTGACAGATGATGCAAATGTTCGGTTTATTGGCGAGACATTATTGAGAGGGTAGAAATAGATTTAAGATCCAAAGAGCAAACACGTGTTTCAGGATATGGGGGACAATATGCAATAGGTTGCCAAGCTTATACTTCCAAACCCTGGGGTTTTAAAATTTCCTCCAAACAGTTCATGTCAGGTTTTCCGTCACTCGCTCCCCACACACTTGTATAAAAGCTTTGAAAAATGTATTTTCTAAAACTATCATGACCAAAAGCTCCATTGTGGAGGTGAACAGGTAAAGAGGAGACTTACAGAAAACGGTCCACTTTGAAAACTAGTGGTTTCTCTATAGTGCCAGTCATCAAAAGTAATGTCAGGGCAGCAACGAGCAGAGGAACGCTTTCTCAACAGACGATGATCCAATTGGTAACGATTTACAGCCAGTTGTGGTTGAAAATACAGCTCGATGTGACCCACACAGACTCAAAGCCTCTGCTAGTTGACGTTTAAAATCATGTTTCCAAATGGTTTTGCTTTCTTTTTTCCTTCTTTTCGCAGCAGATTGTACGCACAGGCTTCTTTTTTAGAGCAGGATGCTGGGCAGCATCAGTCTGAAAAAAGTTCACAGGATTGTTTTTATTCAAATTATTTTGTTTTATTCGCTGAGTTTTGCTCCTCAGAGTTGATATACTTGATATCGTCTATTCAATTTTGACTATAGTGAGGCAAGTTAGAAATTCTCACCCTGCGTCAGGGTAAAAGTTGAATGTGTCTGCTACACTTGGATAAGGGAAAGGCTCCTCTGTAGTGCTCAGTCTTCCTTTGAATTCTGTCTCTGTGTGTTCTGATACGCCCGGAGTGCTGTAAACACAGACACACAAACCCTTCTTGGGAGCTGCGGGGACTGCAAAAATCGTGACTTAGCCGAAACACCTCTTGTGCGGGCGTGCACGCAGACACACACCCACGCAAACACAACGTTACTACGATCGTGACTGTGGCAGCTGAGTCCCCCTCATCACAGACACAGACACACAGCCTCATTCACTTGTGAAGTGGGTGTGTGTGAGAGTGCTTTTGTCTGATTGCTATTGAACCGGCTGAGATCAAAGTCAGTCTGCCATGAGAGTGTTCATCTGTCTGTCCTGTCTTACATAAGTTATCTGTCTACAAATTGATTAAACGACTCATCCGACTGACATCCTGTGTCATTTCACACCTTTTTGTCTGACATCAGACAGATCAGTGAGTGTTTAGGTTTTAATACATATTGAAGAGTTAGAATAGTAATTACACTTTATTCTGTTAAAGGCTGCCTCCCGGTGGTCAAAGACCAAACGCTTTTTTTGTGTACCTGAACACTCCTTACTTTGATTTACCTTTTTATATTCCTTACATTTTTCTGTAAAATTGAAGCTGGCATCTAGGTTTGTTCTAAGAAAGCAGATTTGGTTTCTTGTTATCTCTTTTCCTTTCAGTAAGTGTTTCTCTGTGTTTTCCAAACTTAAAAGTTGGGTTATTTGCATATGCTATATACAGTTATATAATCTATTCTGATGAACAAGGATACGTGGTCTTAGAAAATAGTTTTTGAAAAGCTCATGCAATGGTTAGAACTGTGGGGAAGTTTGGTACTACCTACGGCTAATTTTTCAAATTTTATCACATGTAGTCAGTGGTCAGTTTGTGTCGCTTCAGATTCGATATAGTTGCCATTCAGCAGCATCTGAACTGTGTTTTAGGGCAGTAATCTCGTCTCTGAATCTGAATCCTGCGCCTGTTCAGAATGTACTGCGTCCGAATGGCTGTCGGTAGCAGTGATCTGTGCTCTGCGCTCTGCAGGAGAACCCAGAGCGTGGGCCACGAGCCATTAAGGAGACAGGGCTCCACCACCAGCCGCCCACCACAGCCTCTCTCAGCCCAAGCCATCAAGCACATCTGGGTCCGAACGGCTCTCTTTGAGAAGGTCCTGGACAAGATAGTCGAGCACATTGTGGACAACTCCAGGTAATTGAGTTTAATTCCTCTCTTTCTGCCACTGTGGCGTGATGATCCCCATCACTAACTCCCAGCCTGGTCATTGCTCGGTAATGTGCAGTCCCTTGAAAAGACCCACAATCTTTTTCTGTTGGCATCTAAGTTCTTTTGTTTTGTGCTCCGTCTGGCTAACAACCACTACTTTGTGTGCACTGGTGTATCTCAAACAAATCTGTGGATTGTTCTGTGTTGTATTATAAGTTATTGTCTTGTTGACAATGTGAGAATAATAATTAATTTTACCTGTTAAGAGAGCCACAGTAGCAAAGAAATATTGAAAGGATTTTTTTTATTTGCACCTTTTTTTTTACATTTAAAGAGGAGCTTGAAGGTTTATTTCTGACTAAGTGTCATTACATGTATTCACATTTACCAGCTAATTTAGATTAAAAGGTTTTGTTAATACCTTGCCGCTTGAGCAATGTTTTCACTCATAAGTGTTTGATGAGGGAAACAATGACTGTGGAATGTCTCTTGGTTTAAAGGTGAGTATCAAGCTCCCAGTTTTCCTAAACCCCTTATATATTTTTGTGATATAGCTACCAGCAAGCTTTGCAGCCACTAGCTGGGACTACCTGTCATTTATGTGACTGTATAGTCTTTCAGGAAGGCTTTCTGGGGAAAGAAATTTTGAGCAGATGAAAGTCTATTCTTTCTAGCTCTAAAAGACATCTTGCTACCATCTACAGTTCTTACTCTTCATTTCCCTTCTTCTTTGCAGTAAATACTATGAAAAAGAAGCTTTGATGCATGACCCTGTCTTTGGCCCCATCTTAGCAGCCTTACTAGGTGAGTGTGATACACTGTGGTACGCTCCAAAAATGAAGCTCTTATGAATTTTGAATATATAGAATGCTAACCCTAAATCTACAAACTCTGTCTTCCATTCTATTTTCCACTAACATTGTTTAACTGGAGGCCGACAGCAGCTATGAGTCACAGACACACAGTTTAAAATGCAGAGAAACAGATGCGCTTAGGCAGGAACAGAAAGCAAAACCAACAATATAAATGATGGAGAGAAAAGAAATACTGATTAGTAGTTAATGAAGACTCATGATGGAGGGAGCTGCCAAATGTAGTAAGATAGGTTTATTTGTGTGTGTGTGTATATATATATATATATATATATATATTAGGGGTGGGACGGTTCACAAAATCCACGGTTCGGTTCGTTTCACGGTTTCGTGGTCACGGTTTTCGGTTCGGTTCGGTATATGGTGATTGTTAGGAAAATCTATTACGTCTTGTATAGTCAGGTTAAAACTAAGAATGGGGATCGTTAATATTTATTGATATCGATACTTTTATCGATACTCCTTATCAATCCGAGTCTTTATCGATACCACTATCGATAATTTTCTGTTATTTGGTGGAAAGACGATGCAACAATATTTAACAAATAAATAATTGTATTTTAAATTAAATGTAATTTTTAATAAATGTTGGCATCAGTAGTTTAATTATATATTCTAAAAATAATTAGAGCAATATACAACTGTATTACTCATGTTTCTCGCCAAAAACTCAATTTCCCTTTTCTTTACGTTACACTTGAACGCATCATGATAACCTAATTGTCGTTTTACTGAGCCAATCTGAACACATCATCACGCAGCACGTCTGAAACTTTATTTACTTTTCAAGCTAACTAGCTTGTATGCTGCCGATTACAACACAGATTTCACAATTACTATTGTAATAAAAAAAAACGACCAGACTCGATAGTGGTATCGATAAGCCCAAACGTTATTGATTTTTGGGTTTTGAAAAAAGTGGAACCAGGTCCTTGATAGAACCGGGTTTCGATCCCCATCCCTAGTAAAAACTGAAAGAAAAAAGCAGTCTGACATTTGATACATTATTGTGACAGTGTTAGGTTAAAAGTAGGTGAGATTCTGGCATTGCCAGAGAGGAAACAGTGCTAATTCCAACATGTGCTTCCCTCTAAATGCAAAGTGGTCCATACAGCAGACCTAGAAACTGCTGTTGGCGCGTCAGATGATTTTTATCGGCTACGCTGCTTCTTCTTCTTCTTGTTTCCTACTGGTGGTTGGCTTTGGGCGCAGTAGCGCCCCCTTCTGCTCTGGAGTGAACACGCTTCCCTCTGAGAAAAAGGAGCAGCATGAACCGTGCGGTACACACGCGAACCGAACCGAGACAGTCGAACCGAACGGTTCAGACGGTTTTCAGAAACCGTCCCATCCCTAATATATATATATAGGACCTTAATGACCAACATCACCTGAAAATCATCTGCTGGTTAAAGATATTCTATATATGTGTTCTGTATTCTCAGTGGGGCCCTGCGCTCTGGAGTACACCAAGTTGAAAACCTCAGATCATTTCTGGACAGACCCCTCAGCAAATGAGCTGGTCCAACGCCATCGTATCCATGGGGCCCACCGGGGCCAGGAGGTCTCAGCCGGCCGCCGGCCTGCCCTCGGGGTGAGTGCAGAGGCAGATGCTCAGCTGTTCAGGATGTGTCGGTGGACAGTGATGGGTCAGCTAAGAAACTGATTTTTAAGCCTAGACTGACGAAAATCGTATTCTTTTTAGATTCGCAAGAGGCAGTCCAGTGGCAGCATGTCAGACGACAGATTTGCGGCGTCAGCAAGGGAGTACGTGGAGTCTCTTCATCAAAACTCCAGAACACACCTTCTCTATGGAAAAAACAATGTTTTGGTCCAGCCGGTATGAATGCACTTTTAAGTCGAAACTAACCCATAATGCTGCCAACTTTTACAAACATTTCTCTCCTTTGAATGTGTCCAGAATGTTGTGTTGAGATTATCACAAACCTAAAAAAAATCCATATAAATGAGTACAAAAAAACAAAAAAAACAATCCCAAAATTGCATGTTGGTGTGGGCATCCTTGTATTTTGTATCATTAGTCACTTGGGGCTATCCACCTCTTGCTGCTGAAACAGACTTAACTCTGGCAGAATGACAGACCGGCAGAGAGTTTTATAGAATTGGAATCAGTGGGGTGGGTCTGACACACAGCAGGCAACAGACAGGGTAGGGATTAGAGGCTGGTAATGAGATGAGTTAGACTGCAAGGAAAAAATAGAATAATGAAGTACAGCAGGATGTAAAGTCCAGACACCAGAGAATAAGGACAGATTAGAGAGAACACATCTTTTTGTTGAACTTATATTAAGGTCAATTTGTGAAGTCCATGAAGTTATTAATACTGAGAGTTAAAGGAAAATCAGCTCAGGTGAGCTGTGTGAGGTTATTCTTGTTCTTCATTTTTAATGATACATAATAACTAGTTTTAACACCAAAGAGCTTACTTATGTAAGTGAGTATATATGTGAATATATGTTACTATATGTAACTGAGTTTTACACGCTAAATTAAATATTTCCTAATGATCCTAATGATTTATTTTAGCATACTTTTTTGCAAATTACAGCAAGATAGCAGCCTGTTCTGGCTTATCGTTGTTAGTGAGTAAACAATGAGGTTGTAGATCTGTCCACAAGATAGTCAGCTCATTTAAAACTGTAGTTTGAGCTTCTGCTCTTTATGGAGGTTCAAATGGTGTAGATAAAAACTGTAATAAAACAGATTATGTGAATTTGGTTTCAGCCTTCTCTGATAGATGCCAAATATAAACAAATCTCATCTCAGATGCTGGTTAGATGAGACAGGGTCGTGAGACAATGCCACTAATTGTCCACTTTCTATCTTGCCTGTCAAAACAAGACCAGGTTATGATGAGGAATTGATAAGGTTGTGTGCATCTCGACAGAAGCCAAGAGTCTGATGTAAACTGAAAGGCTATATTAAGACTCATTTTCAACATCTTTTCAACATTTTGAATAATTTTGGAGTCAGCCACTACAATGGCTGCATCTGCACTGACTTTCCACTGAGATGATAAGAAAAAGAACAAGGCAGTTTTGTTGAAATCCACTTTGACTGAAGGAAACCGAGTCAGGCATTCTAAAGAGATGTGACTTGTCTCGGTAACCCTATTTCCAGAAAGCTGTCGCGCCGTCTCTTAAGCCTGTGCTTCCCACAATGTGGAAATTTAAAAATGAATGGGGAACTGAGTCAGCTATGCTCATGATCATCCCACTCCTGTCAGATTTGTTTGAAAATTGGATTCATCAGCACGGTCCTCCTCCCCAACGAGGTCATCATCATCATCAGTGGCAAGTAGACTCTTAGACAAGAAAGATCTGTTATTCAGTGGAAACCGCCCAGAGAGCAACGATTGGAGGATGTGGCTACATTACTGATTGGATTTTGATCATCAGCTCTTTTAAACCAAAGCCGTGGATTTTCCACATGTTTTTTCACGATGAAAACCTAGCAGTAGATTTTGAAAGGAATAGTATTCCAGTCTGAAAGCCCACATACCCAGAGCATTTAGAAAGAATGCTTTGTTAATCAGCTGTTTTTGTGCTGTATGGTCACACAGGCACATGGCATTTCTATTGAGTGATCTTTGAAATGAAAGCTGTCTTTCTCTCTCCTGTATTGTTCTCTGCTGCCAAGTAGTTTTAGCATGTGTGCAGCAGCAAATGTGTAATAAGCACATTTTTGCCTCCCACAAAAGGAAATCATGCCAACAAGCATGGCGTTGGGCACCTGCAAATGGGCTGTACATGATTCTGCTGTCTTGTCCTTTTTTCATGACAGATTATGTCTTTATGTCCACTAAGATAATAGCCACCCGCTATTAGAGAAGTGGCCCTCGTTTTAGAGATTTCCCTGCTTATGCACCCCATTCAGATAAGATGGATTTCTTTTAAAGGTTGTTAAGCTTGGCACATAACTGCTGAGGCTGTGTGGATGTGAATCAGGTGTGCTGAAGCGGGGAAATCTCTAAAACCTGCAGGACAGTGGCACTCAAGAACCAGTGATGAACAGCCCTTTACTAGAGGGTACAGTACATACAAAAGGTCAGGTAGAAATGTTTTTTTTTTAGAATGATTATATAAGTTAATTCAGTTTGAAGCAGGGAACAGAACTTTTTGCCCAAAAATCAAACCGAAGAGAGTAGATTGTTGTTTTCTGACATTGTTTATTCTGCCTAAAATGTACAAAGAATTACACTCTTATCGCTTCAAGCAAAAAATGCAAAAATATCTCGCATTATTGATATTAACACTGTGAAGTGAACAGTTTGGGTCAATAGGTTTACCCCTTATTAGAGATGCAACTTTCAAATCTAAGCAAATGGATACCCTACTCATATTATTAAATAATTGTCAATACTCAGAGGTATTTTGTAAAATGCACTCTTGATATACGTAGCTACAAAGTTTGCTTCAGAAGGACCCAAGTCTTAATCATAAAATAGGGATTAGGACTAAGTTTGTCTATTTAAAGGGGAAGGCAGAAGGGAAGCCCTTCACGAATCTTGCCGCGTTCACTGCCACGACATGATGATATTCCAGAAGCCTCTCCATATTATGACACCTGACAGACACTTTTATGTGGTCAGTGACATATTTCTATTTGAATTTGCATATAAACGTCATGTTGCCCAAGTAAACAGGTAGACTTACTCAGCTGCCTCCATGACAACATCATACAAGTATTAGGGGAGCTGTTGTTTTTAAAGCTACAGCACAATCACCACCCAAACACAAACCAAAAAGACAAATACAAGAAGTTAATATGTCCACCTACTGTTTGAAATTAAAATGGTGGGATAGTTTTTGAACAATGTCATTATACTTGAAGACTTCAACTTTGATATCTTTTCTTTTCCATTTCATTGAGTAGAAGAAGGACATGGAGGTGCTTCGGGGCTATTTGTCCCTCCACCAGGCAGGGGAGAACCTAACGCTGAAGTGGACCCCTAATCAGCTTATTAACGGCACTCTGGGAGACTGTGACCTGGAGAAGAGGTTAGGAGAAAGCAAAAGAAACATTCCAAATCCTCCCCGGAGAACATGAAGAGTCATCTGAACGGCAAACTTTTTTTACGAGCACGCGTGTCCCTTTCTTTCAGTATCTACTGGGACTATGCCCTCACTGTTCCCCTGCGCCAAATTGTCTGTCTGCACTGTCACCAGCGGCGTGAGTACCCTTAAGCTGCTAGTCTCCCCTCACACAGTAATGTGATCCAGTGTAAGCAAGATTTATTTCTTTTTTAATCATGCCACTTAGAAATTGTGTTTGATAACTCATATTATAAGATCAAGCTTTTGAGTGGCATTATTATTATGGGAGACACTGTTTTTGTACAGTAACTCTTCTTTTTTTGGATTATTCATGACAGTTTATCCTTAAATAAACAGAAAAATACATAATAAATAAGATCACAAGTAGTCAGCCCTCTGCCCTAGTTGAACATCCCTTTTCAAAAGGAACTCCTCATTTTTTTTCTTCTTCATGTCCCTTTTCTTGACATTTCAGCTGATTGTGGGGGGACCCTGGTTCTGGTGAGTCAGGATGGGATCCAGCGGCCGCCCCTGCATTTCCCTCCGGGTGGCCACCTCCTGGCCTTCCTCTCCTGTCTGGAGACGGGACTGGTGCCTCGGGGTCAGCTGGAACCTCCTCTCTGGTCCCAGAAAGGCAAGGTAACAACAAACATAGTCTACACTTTATCGTGAGGCACTTCCTTATGATAACATGTTACTTTCATGGGATTGTTGATGGCTTTACACTTTTGCAGGTGTATTTTGACATTTTTTAGGTGAAATCCTCGTGTTTCTGACCTGAACACTTAAATACAGTAATCAGAGTGCTCTCTGGAGAATCAGAAGCCTTCCTCATGAGTAAGCTAAAGCTAAAAAGTTTCTCAGAGAACAGCGAAAAAAAGAGAAAATATTTTCACTGTGGAGACATCTGATACAGATGAGAGGTAAAATTATAACAGCATAGATTTCAATATGTCATGAAATTCAAAAAGTCCATTCAAGAGAAACTAGTAATTCTCTAAACTGACTATTCTTTGGTAGAAGATAATTCGTTATTAGAATAAGCAAATGGTAAACCAGAATTTAAATCTTTCATGTTGATTCTGAGGCTCATATTCTAAGTTAACTTGTCACTGTATTTATTTAAATGGAATTTGACATATTTGAAAATGATATTTAAAAACAAGTATGTTTGTGAACATAGACCTCTCACCCTGGTTTCTTTGAGCACATTTTCACAGTTCCTGAAAAATATCAACTCTGAAACTTATTTAGGCTGAAAGGTTTCTCTTAAAATTACAATGCCTCTGCTTTTGTCACATGACACACCTGCAAAAAACTGTTCTTTACTACAATTAATGGATAAAAAACTACTAAGAGTCTGATTTCAGGGCCTCAGGTGACTCTTGAAAGTTAAGAGTTTCAGAAATATGGTTTTCTGAGTTTGAGTCAAACTAACTAAAGCTGTGAAAGTGATAAAAGGTCAATTAATACCACAAAGAAATAGTTGCAAATGGATAAAGGCTAGGTTAAATTGAAGACTACAATGTTTCGTTTGATCAAAAACTAATCATAAATGCTAAACAGGATGACAAATAAATCATTGTGGTGGATTACAAGATGATAATCAGTGGCGAAATAGTAATGGTGTAATATGCAATGTGTTAAAGTGCAAGAAAAAGTATTCCATTCTCTGTCCTTTAACATCTGCATTCAAACGTGTAAGCACGTGATGCACAAATAAAATGCTCTCCAGACAAAGCTTGCAAATTCCAATTAATGTGCATCCTGAAACTGGGTCATCTGCAACAGAGCACGTACCGAGATCATAAGCAGCTTATCGATTATATCTAAACGCTAACTTGAGCAATGTAGCTAATGTTGGATCAGGATTGCATTCAAACATTAGGTTACTACTATGAACGAGTGCATAGAAGATAATCACCCAAAATATTAGCAGCCTTTGAATTACTTATCATCTTTACTTTCTTAATCTATGAAGTTGAGATGAGGGCTGTGATGTTAACTGATTCTATAGGCGGTGTCTAGTATGAACTGGAATAGCATTGTATTGCCTTCTCCTTTACACAAATATGGCTTACAACTAAAAATAGGTGACAAATTACTGTCTTGAAGCAGAACCAATATAAAAATAAAGATATTAGTTTTCCAAAAGACCCCATATCAAATCATTCTTATCATTGGGGACGAGCATTTCTGCATCAGATTCAAACCAAATATGAGTAGACTGTTTACATTTATACAGCATATTTCAAATATTATGGTGGTGAAAGCTATTGGGTATGAAAAACATGAAAATCTCTTAGGAACTTGCTATGTTAATAGTTGACTGTCCCAAGATTTGGTTATGCTGCAAGACATTGCATTTATAATAAAAGTCTAGCAACCTTTAAGCATTCATTGCTAGAGGGAGTATAGGAAAGTATTCCAACAGAGCTTTGCTCAGTAAGAATTGTTTTAAAAAGTTCAACATTGATAAAAGCAACATTTGTAAAATGATTACTTATAGAGCAATGACAATTGAATATGAAACCGGCTAAGCAAAGGAGTTTGTTACACGTTATTGATTGAAAAATAGTTAATTTGGGCTCCAAAATATGTCTTATTCAAAGTGTTGATGATCAATGTGATGCCATAACACTATGGCTGAGAGGGTTTTTCCTTTTTTTATACGTAAATGAAAACTCAGTGTTTATGGGAGCGTGCAGCTGATGGACCAGCTACAAGTGACTGCAGACTTACATGGGTCCCTCTTAGTTTATCAATATTCATGGCCCTTAAAGACCTCTAACACACATAAACTCACTCATGCCTGTTTAATTAATTATTGATATTTCGCGGAATCAAGAGCTTTGTTTATGTAAAGCATTTCCGGGCTCACATTTGGATTTCAATTGCAGGGTAAAGTGTTCCCTAAACTGAAGAAAAGGAGCAGCACTGCCAGACTCCTGGACCAGGACAGGAACGGCGAGGAGCAGACAGCAGCTGACTACGTCTTTCGCATTGTATACCCTGGATACAAATATGATGCCAGTAAGTTGTAGTTGGCCCCAGGCAAAAGCTGCGGCTCATTTAAAAAAAAAAAGAAGAACAGAAAAAAACTGACTGTCCTTCCTGTGGCTAATCTTTGTGTTAGATTCTACTGTATATGTTTCATGTGATTGTAAATTATGGTGGTTTGGCTCCCTCAACAGTCTTCCTGTAGCATGCGAGGAAGCACTTTTTTCTAACTATGTTCTCTGTTGTTCCACTGGTGCAAGCAGTCACTATAAACTACCACCACACCACGGGCAGCCGCGCTCCGTCGCTGGATGATGATGAGGAAGAGGAAGATAGGCTCCATGCTATGATCTCAATGATCTGCTCGCGGAACCTCACAGACCCTAATGTCATGAAAGGTTTTTATCACCTTAACACACCCACCAATCCCCACTACCCCACCCTTGAAATCTCACCCCGGCTTCAGACACTTCCCCCCCCACCCCCTCCTGCCTCCTCCCAATCCATCGTGTCCTCCCCCCTCCCCTTCCTGAACCTTCTGCCCCCAGCTTGGTTTGCCTGTGCGTGCTGCCTGGAGCTGAGCCCAACAGTGAGGAGAGGGGTGGGAATGGACGGGATAGCAGGGACATGGGGAAGTTCGGGTCGACAAACTGAAAAGCAAAGGTTGTACAGCAATGCAACAAACATTGCAGACCTTTGATAGAGTCCCATTCAGTAACTGTGCGTTGGACTTAGTTTCAAACGACTGCTAGATCGCTGCTAAACACAAAAGGAAGCAGGTCACAATAGGAGATCGCTTATGTGAAAACAACAGAAAAAAACTGATGTTGTAATGTTGTTTGTCAAAATGAGATCCAAAGGCAAACTGTTGAGAGGATTGCAGGATTGCTGACCTCACTATGGTAAGAGTTAGCTAATTAACTGACATCTTGAGAAGTTGGTGGAAAAGCTCCCTGCAGAGATTAAGGCAAGCAAAATTATCCAGGCTAATCCAAAGTGCTGCGCGCTAACATGATTTGTAAATAAATTAACCAAATAGATGAAGTACACAATACATATCAAATATATAGAGAAAACACTACATCTTCTGTGCAGAGTACAACACTTGCACATAATATGTCAAGGAAAAGGCACATAATATGTCCAAGCAGCCGATCAGCTGATTTTAGAAAATATGAAGGGCTATAAAGCAGACGCAATTGAGAGAGGATGGAGCAAGGTAGTTACATGTGTATTAAAAAATGTATAGATACATTTCTGTGGCATAACGGGAGAGCCTATGGAGAGAGGCCAGAGTGGGAGATGCGCTCCGCTCCCGCTTTATTGAAATGTGAGCAGCAGCATTCTGCATGAGCTGAATACAGTAAAATAAAGCCTGGTTGACCCCTAAACACAATGTTACAGCCACTAAGAAGAGTGGTAATAAAAACACTGATCATGTGTTGAAAGTCACAATTAATTTTTTTTTACATAGAGCTGATTGTTTTGTCTAATTTAAAGTCAGTCAATTTTCATCCCTGTATCAGTAACAGTTGGTTTCAACAACAGTGTTGTCAGGAGACTTCAACTTCGACAAAACAGCATGACATCTGTTTTATTATCATGACAGCGCAAGAAATCGAATGTCATCTATCTTTGATGTCACAGTGAGCATCATCCTGTTTAAGAGAAATGTAAATATGAAAATATGCACCTATTATGCTTATACAGTCCCCAACATGGGAAATTAGAGTGTTACGCTCCCCTGTATCAAAGCCAGTTGTCAGAGCACAACAAAATTACCAGAATCTGTGTCATTAAGTTAAAACACCACAGGTTCTGTGCCCTGGATATTTTCCAACTCAGACTGGAACCTCAGGAAAACCGTTGCTGTCTGAACAAGGTTGCTGTTGCATAAAGACGGCTTTCTCCAGAATTGTTAAATGAATGAAATGTTCTGATTCGTCAAATTTTAAGTACTCTTTTGGACTCTGTTGCATGGTGGAAAAACGCTGGAGAAAAAGTTGAGCATGTAGAGCATGTATTTGTCGTTAAAGTTGGTCGGGACAAAATAAAAAGACCTAGGCAAGGGGATTATTTGCATGCAGTCATGATGCTACGCTGATTCTTATATTTCAGCGAGTGGTCTGAAAAAATGCTCCGATTGAGCGTTCTTGTATGATATGCATCTATTTTCTAATAATTCAAAGTCATCCGTACATTAGAAGCAGAATTGTTCCGCCTGCCTAGAACACCTTTCATCGATAAAAAATGTTGGCCATATTTAGTTTGATTTACCTCCAGGATTTTTTCATGTCTTTCTTAAGAATTGCGACTTTGTCCCCATATGGTCAAACTTTAATAGAACAGCTGCAGATAAATTTACCCCCCTTGCAGGAAACTTGTTCCATGCCCTCTCCTCTCATTGCATCCGAATCCACTTGGTAGAAATGTAAACCTGCGAAATAAACATGACACACACACTTTCTCAGAGGGATAAACTTATTTCTATGGCTCCCACTGCCAACCGCCACAGATTGAAACTTTCCCAGTTCTCCACATCGACCTGGAGGCCCTATTGCCCGATTTGAATTTGAAAGTGATCGTGCTGACTGCTGGAGAGTTATCTGCCTCAGCACTGTTGGGTTTACATAGCTGAAGCCAAGAATTGCTTTGATAATTTGCCCGAATTTTTTTTTCCCCTTTCCTTTTTATTTGTCCCTTTAATTTGACACCATTGTTTTCCCTTTTTATTGATTTATTGATTTATTTTAGTTCTTTCATTTTTCACATGCAACATGCTTGACAGTTTTTGCATGGGAAATATGCGCCCGTTTCAATTTTTTGTATATACATCTAAGTGCGACTATGTGTTTCTGCGTATTTGTGATGGGAAATCCTCTTACAGTCTCTTCTGTTTGTTTAGTTTTTTTAGTTCTCTTTCTTCTCTTGACTTCCTGAGTTGTTCCTCCTCTGTTTGTGCAGTCATTTGCTGCGATGCTGTTCACTGTAATTCTTCACTAACCCCACCACCCCCACCCTCTCCTCGCCCCCCCTCCACCCCTCTCATTACGGTCCTGTGGGGTTCCGCAGTAGTAGAGACGTGGAGTCCATGTATGCGGGGTCGCATTATTGAACCCCCCCAAAAAATTGTTGATCACATCTAGTCCTAGAGTAAAAAGGAGAGAGGCCAAATGTCGGTCTCACTCTCAGCACTTTTCTGTTGGCTTTTTTTTTTCTGTTATCAAATTTTTTATTTTATTTTTTTGGGGACGGGGGGTTATTGAACGACCAAAGCACAGCTTCATATTTATGACAGGTCATCAGCTCCAACCTGAAGAATTAAGGTGAAGAGCATTTAATTGATGTTGAAGTTTTTCTGTTTTTTTTTTCTTTCTTTCTCCTCCTCTTTGTGTGCCTTTTTACCGGTGTCCATTTGTCGTGGGTGACTCTGAAGTGATTTCTTCCGGTGTTCCTCGTCTTTTTCTGGCTTTATGCATTCTGCATGTTCTGCGTGTGAGCTTCCTCCCTGCCTTCTGCCCCACAGCCCACTCCTTCACCTCCCCTCTTTGTTCTATCTTTTTACCTCCCTCTTCTCTAACTTGGTTTTCTCCCCTGTTTCCTCTGGAGCGCCTGAGCTCCGCTGTCTGCTCTACCTCTTTTCTAAGTGAACCGCTGTAAACCAGCATGGAATCCCCTGCATCCTCTGTGCCTGTCGTTCCCACAGCAATGTCCCTGCTTCCTTCCCCTCCAGTTTTGGTTTCATTTCCACACCAGTTTTTCAGCTCTCACATGGTTGTACAATTTCCATCCATTTGCTCATCTCTTAATGTCATAACAATCAAAAATACATGAAAATATGTATTTATGGTTGAGCTGAGGGACCTAGGTCATAATATGTAAGGCATCAAACCTAGTCAGAGTGAAGTGGGTTGAAAGTATTTTTGAAGTGAGTTTTACTCTGAAAAACAGGAGAATCCATTTTGTTTCAGAGCACTGAGACCTTTCTCTGTCCTCTTACTGTGGTTCTCTCTGGTATAGACCACGGGGAAATGATGGAACTGCAAGGTTTTGGAGGCAGCCCGTCGTCGTGGCAACAGACTGAGGGAACCACTCACGAATCCCTGTGCCAGTCCTGTTCCACTGCTGGTAGCAACATGTCATTCGACTACCCAGCCGGGTGCACCTGCATACACCAGTCGTCAGACATTCACACGTATGTTCTAATCTCTCCTGTAGTCGTGGGACATGTGCTGCAGTGTGTTGTGGTCGCGGAGTTAGTGGGATTACTTAGTTTGTGGCATTTTGTCAAAGGCAAAAAGAGGAAATCGACAATGTAACCTATTTAATATAGAATATAATACCAATTCACTCACAGTTTTGAATCCGAAGGAAACGCATATTGAAGAGAGGTTTAGGGTTATGAAAAGCACTAAATTTCCCTTGAGTCACAATGGAGACAGAAAACAACTAACAGACTTCACCCTCACAGCTCACACAGAAGTGGAAAGTGTACGATTAAGTGAAAACCATTCAAGCAGTTTCTATATTTAAAAGGTGGTGTTTATGTTCCAGGAAGTGATTCCCCCCATCAGATTGTATATTGCATTAAGAAAAGCAAGAACACACTCTCTCTGAAAAGATCAGATGTGCACAGCTAAAGCTTAAAAGATTTCATCTGAACGAACCCCAGCATTTTTGTCAGGTCAGAACACAGAAGAAATGTTTGGGATAATGTCACAAATAGCCTATAACAACTGCCATCACTGTAGTAAAGGGGGGATTTTTTTTCATCCTCTTTCGAGGCCACAGGACAAAAAGCATCTCACATTCTGTGAGCCAAATAACAGAAATCAGGAGATGTAGAACAATCCCCGTTCAGCCAATCAGAACCGGGGCTTCACATCCACAAACCAGTGTTGTAAATGTTTATGTTTATGTTTATGCATTTGGCAGACGCTTTTATCCAAAGCGACTTACAGAGTGTAAAATAAATAAATACATACATATATACATATGTATCAATAACTCTGTTTGTGTATGTGCAAAAAAGAACAAATTATCTCTTCTTATCACCAGTGTTCCTCTAAAGATGCTCTGCCAAAACATGAAGAGGCAGATTGTCTCCAGAGCTTTCTATGGATGTAAGTACATAATTTTCTGCAGCATTTTACATATAAACATGTAGTTTTTGTAGTTTAGGCTAAAAGCACTGTATTTGATAAATATAATTTATGAAAAGTAAAAATCTATTTTTTAATGTATGCATTATTGCAGTCAGTGTATTTACAGCATCCACTTTAATTATGCTTTTGAATTTAACTCCATGCATAGTACTGTTTTAGCAATAAAGTAGACTGCATGCAAACAAAACAATACCTTTATATGTAACTAATGTGTAGCTGCCTGTAGTTTGAAGTGCTTTGGAAAAGTTACAGCTGGATGCTGTAAAAACCTTAGTCAAAATACATTTTCAGTTCAATTCCAGCCAATTGGAGTCCAAGTCCAACTCATATAAAGCCAGTTAAAAGAAATCTCTGGCTAAGGGATTGCACCAAAACTTCGCTTTCATTCCAATCCTCCAAATCAGTCGCACAAGGCCTATGTGGACTGAAGAAAAATGACTTTTTACAGGAAGACCCCTGGAAGATTATTGAAGTATAGATTAGATTATTTTTGTACATGAACAGTTATCAAATACTTTTCTTTTTTATATGGATGAATTTCCCATCTTATTAATTTGTTAAAGAGAGAATGGAGATTTGTATGTGGTAAAGATGTTTTTACAGCCCTCGACCGGATGCGATTTAGGATGCTGTAAAACTAAATCTACTCGTCCTGACGCTGCTTCTCAAGCCTCAGCTGTACTTGTGTCCTCGTCTCACCTGTCCGTCAGGGCTGGCATACTGTCGCCACCTGTCCACAGTGCGGACCCACCTGTCAGCTCTGGTCAACCACAACATTGTACCCCCCGACAGACCATGTGAGGCCTCCGGAGGGCTCAGCAAAGAGGTGTGGAGCAAGTACCAGAAAGACTGCAAGGTGGGTAAAGGCACCAAACCTGCAAGCCACACACAACGATGGTGTTTCAATAACATAATCAGGATATTAATCAATCTACACTGACACACCTGCACCTCTTCCCAGATGGTGAATTTAAAACCCTGACATGATTCAATATTCCCGAGACTCCATTAAGTCAGTGACACTGATCAACCCCAACCGTGGTAGAATGCTCTGTTAAAGCTAAACATGGTGGAAAATTACAGGCTTCATATCGTAGCTTAATCTCTTTCACCTTGACAGAATGGTTAAGGAGCACAAAGCGCCGACTGCTTATAACTGTTATTTATCCCTCCTCAGGGCCAAACCACTAACTGTTATTTGTAACTTAAGAACCTTTTTTGAGTTTTTAACTGAGCCCTTTTACCTCATGGTTTAACATGCCTCCGCTATTCTCTTACCTCCATACACACGCAGGCCCTGCTGATGTAATAATACTTATTGCAAGCCGGGGATCATGAACTGCCTCTGCTTGTCTCTGCGCTCTCCACCCTCTCTTGCGTTTAAATGAAAATTTGATGAGTTTTAGTGAACTTAAGTCTCATTACCGAGTTCAGTGTGATATCCTCATAGCTATTAAGGCAGCCGCTGTAATCATCATCATTCATCAGCTCGAGCAAAGTCATCATTACTAATTTACACTCTATTCATATCTGTGTCCTTTATCCTCTGCATTCATCTATGTCTTCCTCTGTAAAGATCACAGGGACTCTTTCCCTCCTTTTCATAATTGATGCACTTCCTCTTCCAAGTAGGTCTCGTCTCTCCTGTCACTTTTCTTCTCCCATGTATATTTCCTTCATTCCTTTTCTGTGTAGAATTATAAGGAGCTGGAGCTGCTCAGACTGGTTTATTATGGAGGAGTGCAGCATGAAATCAGAAAGGAGGTCTGGCCTTTTCTCTTGGGCCACTACAAGTTCGGCATGGGCAAAAAGGACATGGGCCAGGTAAAGCACCCACGAGCAAACGCTCTTCGATTCCTGCCCTCCATTTGGAAAAGGCAACGTGGTTGATGTTTTTTTCCCTTTCCCATGAAGATCGACGCAAAGATCAACGAGCGCTACCAGCAAGTGATGCGGGAATGGAAGGCCTGTGAAGTCATCGTCAAGCAGAGGGAGAAAGAGATGCAGTCGGCCATCATCGCCAAGCTCTCCTCAGGCAGCAGCATAGACAGCCACGTCCTGCGTCTCGCCCACAGAGACTCCACTCTCAGCAACGAGGTGACGAGGCCCAACACAACCTAATGTCCACTTTTTTTATCAAACAGGGAGGTAAATGTGTGAAAACCGTCTAGCGTTTATACAGGCAACATGGCAGGCAGAGTAAATGAAGTGAATTACTTTGTTCCTCAGTTGCATTTATCGACACCTCGCATGATTTCAACTGCTGGTCCTTTCATCTGACTGAACAGCTTTGGTACCAGGTGTTTGTAGGGCTCTGCGGGAGTCTGCGGAAATTAGCCCAAATAAGAGGAAAACAAACCAAAATAAAAAAAGTTATTTAAAAATCTGTTGATTGAAGAATTTTAAGAAATATAGCCACAGCCTTGAGCGGTATCCTGAGAAAAATGTTGCATTATTTACATTTTTTTAACATACAATACAAATGCATCTAATTAAAAGACTAAATAATGATGTCCCAGTGCTCACTTGTCTCTAATATTAACTAATAGAATCCTACAATGCCCACTTTCAAGTAAATTAGAAGATGAAATGTGTCATCATGTATATGGTCGTCTGAATATTCACATAAAACTACATTCATCTGACCACGACGCCTTAAACGGATAGTTTTATTCCAGAGATGTTCAGAAATTCAGTGCTATTCAATATTAAACTGTCCCTTAGAGTAACAACTTTTTTGTTTTTTTATTTTTATCTTACTATCAACTCAAACTGATTGTTGGAATGACATCCAGTGTGTATGACATCCAGTGAGATTTTAGCAGTGGAAGTAAATGTAACCACAAGAGCCTTGAAAGGCTAAAAATGAGAACAAACACCAGCATGGAAGCAGAGCAGAGTGACACAGCAAACAGAAAGTTGAGACGAGTCATGCCCTGTGAGTCACATCGTTACAATCACTGTCTTCAGGTAAACCTGGTGGGAAGGATATTGGACTGTTTCTTTAAAGTGCTTTGAGATATTGCCCTGATAGAAAATAGAATTTAAGTGAGTTTCATTTGATATTCCAAATTTGCATCAGCAGGGGTTTATTTATAGACGTACTATTATATAAATGGACATGTGGTGAGTCGCCTGTTGTCCTCACTGCCAAGCTGCCTGTTTCTTCTCCTTTAAAGTTCCATTCCTCTTCAGGTGTTCATGTCCGTGGATGAGCCCGATGCAGGAAGTCAGGAGACACCCAGTGGAGAAGATACCACTCCCACCATGACCACACTGGTCCCCCCTGCCGCCCTCCCCCCAGAGGAGCGTCCTCTGGTAGAGTTTGATTCCCCAGACTCTGGTCTCCCATCTTCCAGAAACTACTCGGTGACCTCTGCTCACTCTCAGATCTTGTCCAGCATAGACGACGGTCAGAGCACAGAGGAAGAAGGAGGGGGTAGGGAGGAGGGAAGGACTCCAGGGGGTGGGCATCAGGACTCTCTTACTGAGGACAGGCTGTGCAGTCAGCTGGACAAACTGGTGACCAATGGAGCTGCTGCTGAGGGGATATCAGCCTCACTCTCCTCCTATACAGTGCGTACAGTTTGTAGATGTGTTTGTTTATTTAACCAGACGAAGTAAGTCTGCCACGCGTGGGCGAAACCAATTAAAACTGTGATTTCCAGCACGTTCTAAAATGTGAAGGTCTAATTTATATTAAAATGAATTTGTTATTCATAGTCCCATAGTGGCTTTTGACGCAAATCCTTTTCATGATAGAGCTAATATTAGAGTTTAAGTTCTCAAAGTGAAAATAATTCTGACATTAGTAAATCTAACACTGGAAACACCTTTCAAAAGACTTCTTATGTTCATGAAACTTGTTCCATCTGCTTCAGGACATAACTCATTATTATGCTAAATGTGACAATAAGGATATTTACATTACCAGCTACAGTTTTTAGATAAACTGGGCCATTGGAACCAAATGATATACTCCCCTTTCATTACATCCAGGCCATCAATGGCTTTAAGTATTGGCACAAGATAGGTCAGTCCAAGGACTGATCCTATTGATGGCAAATTTCAAATAAGCAGCCAGAAATGGAGATTGTTTCAATCAAGTTGCAAAACAGTGCCCACAGCAGCCTCAGATTTCTGTCCACAGCAGACAGTAGGGGCACCTACTGTGCTCCTCTGTTTTCTGGTTCATATTTATCAGTGTTAAACAAAAAACTATTTCTGACCAGATGTAGTCATAGCACTGATATAGAGAGTGGCCATTATCTATTAACACAGCTCTGGAGGAGGCTATTAAATGAATATATGCTCTTATGTTAAAGTAAAAGAAATGAAAGTACATACTGTTTTTATTCTGTTTTTTAATGTATGTATTTAATTTTTTATCATAATATAATTTGTTTTGTGTAAATCATCTTGATCTTTGCCCGTGTAGTAAGACAACATGTCCATATTCATTTAGCAAATTCAGCAATAACTTGAAGGGATCATTTTCTAACCCTGTTCAGAACATTGTCCTGATGCTGATACACTTTTGAGCCAAGCTTTAGATGTGTGGTCGATGGCCTCACATTGGACTCTGATATTTTGGTATCCAGAGGAGTCCATTGTGGACTCAACGACTGCAAAACGCACCGGTCCTGTGGCAGCCGGCGGTGCTCAAATCGTCAGCCCTCCCCCAGATTGCTGACATGTGGCAAAAGGTGTCTGAGTAGATTAGACCACAGTGTTGTTTGGTCTTAAGGCACAGCTGCAAGTTTGGAGAAAGCCAATGCATACTGTTACAGAAGTAATAAATTTTTTTGTCCAGCCATGTTTGTTAGATTTTTTTTAAAGAGCAACCTTCCAAAGATGCTATACTTAAGTCTTTTCCTGTCTGAGGCCTGTTAACCTTTAATATGCTAACTGAGGCCTGTAGAGTCTGACATGTAGCTCTTGTTTTTTTCTTTTTACCTTGGAACTCCTGGGAAGATTGACTGCTAACCTGAACGATTTCTTCCAGGGAATAATCTTTTCCAATTTAGAATGATTGATTCCATGTTTATTTGTTTGGAAATGGCACTATAGCCCTTCTCCAATTGACAGGCAGCAACAATTGCTTCTCTACGATGATTGCTGATGTCTTTCCTCCTTGGCATTATGTTGGCACACACCAGTCTTCTCCAGTGATGTAATATGCTAAAGTTTTTTTTTTTTAAGTGCCCATAACAGTTAATCTAATCATGTAAGTAGAAATTCTGGTTTTATGGCCAGAAGAGGTTTTATGTCCTTAAGGGCCAAAACATGGATGGACATAGGACGTACTTTGTTTTTGACAAAAAAAATCAATGTAATCACAAATGATCCCTTTACAGTTATTTATTTTTCATTCCATTTGTTACTGATCAAGCTGCTGATGATCTTGTGAAAATTAACTTTGTTGTGTCCGTAAAACTGAACCTGTGGATGTTAGCCCGAGGCAACCCTGAGTAACCTCCCCACCAAAATAAAGAAAAGAAATGGAAGGGAAAAAGAAGCATAAACTGAAAGTCACACTTTTTTCTCGCTGCAGATTGAGCTGCTAGACACAGTTGCCCTCAACCTCCACAGAATAGACAAAGACGTCCAGCGCTGTGATCGCAACTATTACTACTTCACCACGGGAAACCTGGAGAAACTACGCAACATCATGTGCAGGTATGGAAACCCTTGGAGGGAGAGACCCCTTCAACCTCAGGCTGATGTTGTTAGAGCTCTTCTCACTTCTGTGAAGCCTGCCTGCCTCTCAGTTTGAAGGCCGGCTGGTAACTTTACAGTTTGGGCCTATTCTGAACAAATGTAAACAGATCTGAAAAAATATTTAAGGTGACCAACACTTGAAGGACAACACATGATAGTAATAAATTTGCTTTCACAGATAGACATGATAAGTTAAGTCTTTATCATTGTTTTTGTCATGCATAACATTGACTTATTATGTTGTGAACAATAATTCACTCGTCTTTTGAATAGTAGAACTTTTAAAAAAATATAATATACAGGGTCACACTCACTGGTTATTACATGCATTGATTCTGTTGAGTTTAATTACAATAAACAAGTTCATATATGTCTTGCTGTAACTTTCCCTCCTGCAGCTATGTGTGGGAGCATTTAGAGATGGGCTACGTCCAAGGCATGTGCGACCTGCTGGCACCACTTATGGTCATCCTGGACGATGGTGAGAGGAAACTGGCATGTGTTCTCAAATGATGTGCCATCATTGATGGCACATATATGCCATCAATAGTACCCAGCATCAGTTTGTAACTCAAGTTAGTTCTAGTATATCTGCAGTGGTTTGATGTTGATGGTCTGTTGATGGTTTGCGAGACCTATACGATTCCTGTTTTTGATCTTTTTGGCTGGAAACGGTCTGTTTCTGAGGTTCTAAGGTTTTTTTTTTTTACACATTCTTCCTGTGCCCGTGTTTGTGTGTGTCAGAGTGCTTGGCGTACAGCTGTTTCACTCAGCTAATGAGGAGGATGAGTCAGAACTTCCCTAACGGCGGAGCCATGGACACGCACTTTGCCAACATGAGGTCACTGATCCAGGTGATGGATAACGTTGTGTCTGTGTGTGTGAGCGATAGCAGGGCTGAGGAACTGGAGCTGAACTCGGCTGTAATTTTTGTTGTTTTTCTTTGGTGTCAGATCCTGGACTCAGAGCTTTTTGAGCTGATGCAACAGAATGGAGACTACACTCACTTTTACTTCTGCTACCGCTGGTTCCTGTTGGACTTCAAAAGGGGTGAATATTACATCACGTTTTGATCTCCAAACACAGAGCACAGAGCATCTGGATCTGCACAGAGCAACAAAAACACCCTCAGAATGTAACTTTAGCAAAGCTATTTGTGGAAACTTGTTGTTTTTTTGTGTGTGCGAGTGCAGAGCTCCTGTATGAAGACGTGTTCGCTGTGTGGGAGGTGATCTGGGTCGCTCCCAGAATTTCCTCTCAGCACTTCGTTCTTTTTCTGGCTCTGGCGCTGGTCACAGTTTACCGAGAGATCATCATGGACAACAACATGGACTTCACAGACATCATTAAATTTTTTAATGGTAGGAAAAACGCCGCCACGTCATGTTCATGTTGTAGTTCACATTATTTTGTGTTATATGTCCAAATTGTTCAGTAAAACATGCATTACAGGGTAAAAGAAAGTTTGACTCTTTAAAAGTGGAAGCACATTTTATTGTGTTTTATTGTGTGTACATCTTCTGTCCACATTTTAGTTTACTGAGACACAATAACACAATAAGAAGTTTCAAAATACCAGTTAGTTGTTTCAGTTTATTTACTAAATGAATAATGTAATATTTAAGAGTACAACAGAGTCTTAGGGACATATTTTTAAAAATGTATTAGTGGAATTGAACAAGATTAAATTCGTTATCAAATATGGAGAGGATGAATTACGAGAATAAAGTCGGAAATAGTCTATCCTGTTTAGAAGACGTTGATAAAATGAGGGTCGTGGAACATGGTATTTGTGGAAATCTTTACATTTAGAGCAGGTTTCACAAACAAGGAGATACTTAATCTTTTGGCACAGCATCAGAAAGAAAATGCATCTATTCTGCAGAAAGAACCAGGCGGACTTGTAGGAAATGGCTGGAAGTGGTCAACTGCATCAGCGGGCCATGCGGCGGGGTTTTATTCTCACCATATTCAATAATGACTTTAATCTCGTAATTAATTCATAATAAAATCAAATCTAATGTGGTTCTAATACTCCATCATAAGTAAGAGAGTTAAAAACATTGTTGGATTTGAACTCTTACTCTTAAATGCAAGTAGGAGTGAGAGTGGGTGAACATGGTTTTCTATGTGATGGACTTTAATCTTTCCAGGGTGTGGGGATAGTCAATCCTACTAAAGGATAGAGAAAATGGATGGAGAAATAAATAAGCAGCCAATAGTGCTGCATTGTTAAAAGTTCTTAAAGCATGTTCCTACGTACATGTGTGACCTTCTGGGTGTTTCATAGCCTAAATTCTATTGTAAATCTCTGTTTGACCCACAGAGATGGCTGAACGTCACGACGTCCAACATATCTTGAGGATCGCGCGCGAGCTGGTGCACAGAGTCCAGTCTCTGATGGACAACAAGTGACTGTAGAGGAGCAGGAGGAGGAGGGAGGGGGGGGAGGAGGAAGAACTTGAGTTTGTCTCTGACCCCCGTGTGCTCACCTTCTCCTCTCACCCCTCAGACAGTTTCCTGCCCCCCTAAGCCCCCCACCCACATATCCAGAGCAGGTCACAAGCAGGTCCAGGTCTAGGCCTTACCCGGGTGAAGAAGCTCGGAAGTGGGGCGGGGAACGTCGGTGACCGTGCGTGGTTCCGGAGCTCTGTTTACATGTACCTTCACACGGAATGCCCATGGTGTCTGTCCAGACATGTGGATTTGTCTGCATGCTAGTGAGTTTTTTTAAATCACACTGTGAATGCATTCGGCGGTCTCCCCAGTCCCACTGTGTGCGTGCATGAGAAAAAAACACACACGGACCTTTTGCGGCTCTACCAATCGCTCCACTCGAGTTTTTTCAGAGTCTCAAAAAACCCTGACCATGTTGGAAAGCTAAAGCACTGTCAAGAGTGTTTGCCCAACTCTGGTGCAGCGCCACCGGAGGCCACCAGAGGGCGCCAGAGGGCAGGATCCACACAGGAAACCGTCAGAGGAGCAGAAGACTTTGCCACGAAGTTTTCATAAGTGACCAAATGGACTGTGCCAACTACCTTTTTTTCTTGAGTGTTTTATACTACAAAGCATGTGTGTTTTTACCTCCCCGTCCCCGTTTTTCTACTTTTTCTTTGGTCTCGACGTTCATCTTAACACAATTGCTGCCTTTTTATTAGAAAACAACCCAAGGTACTTAGATGCACTTTTACGTGAGAGTTGCTGCCACGGTGCCCGTGAAGGTGTCCGCCACATTTGGTTTGTGGGGGGGGAGTGGGGAGGTGGGGGCTGGAGGCACCACAACAGGCCAATCCTACAGAGAAGCTCGGGGGGGGGGGGGGGGGGGGGGGATTGCCAACTTTTCTGAGCTTGTGGGCCAGTGTTGAAAGCATGTGCGGCCCCCCCGGCTCTGAAAAGGCGTTGGAAGCGCCAGCACAACAGCCCAGGTAAAAGCACAGCATCCCCCCCACCCCCCCTCCCTCGTCACACAGCAGAGCAGAGGGATTTAGGACACACGTTGGCCGTCCAGATTTTTCTGCGTCGTTTTAAAAATATACTTGTCACAGCCAAAACCTTTAAACCTGAAGTCAAACGAGATATCGTTTAGTATAAAACAAAGTATTCACAACTGCAGTTGCACAATCCACAGAACAGTGTGCAAAAAGGTTTCACAACAGCATTCAGATTTTTTTTTAAATCTCTGAATCATGATTATTGGACATGTTGAAAAACATGGTAATGCAAAACTGATCATCTACTTGCCCAATCCTGTTCCTGTTGTGGCTTGGGGAACCTATCACAGGTATCGGTGGGTGTTAGGTGGGGTGGAATGGATTGAAAAGCACCTCACAGCGATCAGTTTTCTCATTTTGAGCTTCCTTCTTCAATCCTTCTTCTGTTCTCTGTCTTCTCTGGGTAATCTAAGGGGGATACAGCGAAAACTGACTGAAAACTAAAGCTACGAAATGTGTTAAGTTCCACTTTAAAAGCTCATCAGACAGGAGTCGTACAGTAAACTAGCAACTTTTGCTCTAAATCCAAATCCAAAACGTAAAGTCAGGTTCACAAATACTTGTAAATCCGCACAATTTTGATCTCTCTGCCTCTAAACGCCACCCCGACAGTTTTAAAATGAAACACAGAAGGTATTTACAAACAAATCAGGCGAGCGCTGCGGGAATTTAAGCAGTTTGTGTTCGGCCTCATGCTTTTTAAGAGGCCAAAAGTGATGGAACAAACGACCACTCATCAATCAAACTGTCCCCGTTTAATACTCGGTTGTTTACCGCGGACATCTGGAATGCATAAACGTCACCAGATGTCACCAGATGTGACCAGACGCTGGGGATGGAACCACAATCCTGCTTGTTCTTGTGCAATTTTCCCTTTGTTTGCGTAACTTTCCTCTTCTTAACCTTTAAAGACTCTTGGGTTGCATTCGCCGTGTGCTCAGAATTGCTGAAGTGGTGTTCGTTAAGTTCATCAAGGGCCTTCGATAAGAGGCATTTGGTTGAATATTAGCCTATTACGTAGCCCAAACACTTCAGAATCTATCCTGCTTCTATCCCGACTGGCATCATCTGTAAATACCAGGTAACTGGTTCCACTGGCATAACATACATGCCCACGCCATGACACTACCAACGCCGTGCTTCACTGATATGACTTGGCTCGTGAGCAGTTCCTTTCCTTCTCCATAGTCTCGGTACTCTTCTCTGCCCATCGCTCCGGTTGGTCGAATAGTTGACCTCTGCCTCATCCGTCCGTTTGTCAGACTTTAACCTACCCCAGCCAGTTGTTCCACTACTTTTGGTCACTTTTAAAAAGTGGGAGGCAAATATACAAACCGTTCTCATTCCCACACCATTCACCTGATGTCAGTTATGTATGAATTCTGCTAAATTTTTGTCTGTTTTAACCTTTTATGTGTTTGTAACTTTGTGTCTGTTACAGTCAGACATGTCCTGTTTTTAATCCTTTAGCCTTTTTTTGTGGAACAAACTATTGTAGCAGATCTTTATAGCATCATCCTGAATATTTAGCCTCTTCTGGTCTTATTAAAGTTTACCACAAACATCAACTGTGTTAAACCACCATAGCACTAAAGTAGGAAGAGGTCTCTCCAAATGAATCAGATTAAAAGGTAACATATTCTAGTTAAGAGAAGCCAAAGACACAACACAAAACCGTTGTTGTATTCAGGAGGCCAACCACATTTTTCCGTAGATTTCTAAAGGAACCGGGATCATGGGCTCAGGAAACATTCAGTGGGTTTTATCGGACGTTAGTCAAGATGTACAAAGCGTAAGGTTAATTATCCAGTATATGGTCAGCTTTATCCTCAGTTCATTCACATTTCTGAACTGAAACATGCATTCTGTAGATACCACAATTCAGTTAAATTCCTTTGGTTCAACAGTAGTGTCTAGAAAAGTGGTTGCAATAGTTCTCAAGGAAACGTTTTTATTTATTCGATATATTTTTTTAATGAGTTGGTACGAAAACGCGATTAGTTTGGAAAGTTTTTTTTTAAACAAAAAAAAGAAATGAGTTACTTTAAGCCCACACTTGTGTTTGGTGCCTCAGTATTACAGTATATTCAATCTGGCTGCGCTTTTATGTTCGCTTCTGATGGAAATGTGCATCCCTCTTCTCGGTGTGACCGTTAATCCTCTCACTCCCTCGTCTCTCTGAAACGTCCAACATGGCTGCAAACCTTCGGTCATCCAGCACGGACTTCCACCTGTGATTCAAGTGCCAAGAGTCTTCCCCAATCCTGAAGTGTACTGTAGTCATCCGGCTTTCCGATTTTTGTCCGTTTGATCCCAGGAACGGGTGTTGGCGTGGATGTACCTTGCCAAGGCCTTTTACTCCCCCACCCACCCGTGGTAGTTGAGGAGTGTCAGTGGGGGAGGGGGACACCAGGGCGCGTGACAGACTTATTCTTCCAATCAGGATGTTGTGTACCAAAGCCTTGAAACAGACCCCCCCGTGTGGCATGATGGCGATGTGCAATTTCATACTGCATCTTGAAGACTGACTGTTTATTATGTGTGTAAACTATTTTTGAAATGGTGTTCTTGGATTCTTTGAGTACTGTGTGATTTCTGTCATTTGAAATTCCCATTCAAGTATATACTGCTGTACATATAAACCAAAAGCCCAATATTTGTATGAAGACAGAAGATGCATATATATATATATATATACATAAAAAACTATACTTATTTTAAGATATATTTTTATGTTGCTTTTAGCAGCCCTAGTTGGAAATGTAACTGTGCAGAAAAACAGAACGTGTGCAGACTATGTTCTACGTTGACTGTTAAGTGTTCTCTATTAATGTTGTGCACTGACTTAAATTCCAAGTTTCTATTGATTTGGAGAGCCAATTGCATTGCTGAATATGTATTAGTAAGGCTGTATCGTTTGCCTTGAATGTAATGTAATGTATTATTAAATAAGTTGTTCATTAGTATGTTTCTCTTTTCTGCTTAATCCTTTGATTTTGCATAGATTCACAAATGTATTCACATATATGTATATATATACATGTATACATACATATATACATTCATATATATGAAATGAAGCTTCACCTTGTTTAGTTCTGACTCGGGGCGCCATCAGGAAACCAGAACCTGATGTTCTCAAAGTCCGAGCTGGTTCACATGGCTCTAACATGTCAGAAAGGTATTTTGGTGCCTGCCCACGAAGAGACTCGTACACAAGCAGAGGGGTTTTAAAGTCTATTCTCTGAGTGACAGGAAGCCAAAGCGGAGACCTGAGCACTGGACTGATACGGTCGTATTTCCTGGTTGTGGTCAGAACTCTAGCAGCAGCATTCTGGATGTTCTGCAGCTGTCTTACAGCTTGTTCAGAGATCCCAGTGAGCAGCTGTTACAGTAGTCCAACCTGTTAGAGACAAACGCATGGATTAGTCTTTCTAGGTCTGGTTTAGACACTATTCCTCTGATTCTGGCAATGTTTTTACGATGGTAAAAGCTGATTGATTTAATGTGGCTGTTAAAGTTCAGGTCTGAGTCCAGTATTACCCCAAGATTCTTGACCTGATTTTTAGGTTCCAGAGAGACTGCCTTTAAGGTGACAGACACTTTCTCTTAGTTTCTGTGGGCTGCAGACAGTGATCTAAATTCTGTCTGGGTTTACCTGGAAAAAGTTGTGTTGAACTGTTCAACATAATAAATCTACAGGCCCGTGTTCTCCTGCTGTCAGTGAGACAGATTATGTTGTGGTAGTTGTGGTAGGACAGATCATGGCTGCATATTAGCCAATGGAAGCATGTACAGATTGAACAAAAGGGGTCCCAGGATTGGACCCTGGGGAACCCCACCGGTCAGACCCATTCAGTCTGAGACACAGATCCCTATTTCAACAAAGTAACACATGTTCTCGAGGTAGGACTTGAAAGAAGTTTAAAATCGTATCAGAACTTCCCACCCAGTCCTCTGACCTCTGTAATAAACTCACATGGTCCACTGTCTCAAAGGCAGCGCTCAGGTCCAGGAGAACTAGGACCGAAATTTTGCCTGCGTCTGAGTTCAGGCGGATGTCATTGGTCACCTTGATCAGAGCTTTCTGTGCTGTTGTGGGGCCTGAAGACTGACTGGAAGGCATCAAACACATTGTCAGTCAGCTGTTGATATAAAACTTTTCCAGGACCTTTCCCAAGAACGGCAGGTTTGATATGGGCCGGTAGTTGTTCAGCATTGTGGCATCAAGAATGCTTTTTTTTTTCTTTTTTTTTAGAAGAGGCTTTATGACAGCAGTTTTTAAAGCCTTTGGAAATGTTCCTGTCTGAAGTGAGAAGTTGACTAACAAACTACTGGTTACACTCTCTCTGGAACCACTCTCTCTGGTAACAAACTGCTCAGCACCGACTTTAGGAATCAAGTGGGTCACTCGTCCAGGCAGCAGGTGGACGGACTCAGGCTGCAGATCATCTCCTCGATAATTTTGTTAGTGACAGGTGTAAACTCTAGATGTTTAACTGGGGGCAGAGCAGTTATTTGTGTTATATATAAATATACATTTAAACACCAAAGAAATCAAACAGCCGGGCTCTTTCATTTTTTTAAAAAGCATTGTTTATCACGGTTGATACATCAAACTGATCAGTACCGATGACATTGCACGATACAAAGGCATGAAAAAAATTAAACATTAAAATAGGTACTGTTTTTTTCCAAAATCTAATTCTCCATTCATAAATACTCGCTTTTAATTTCAGTCCACTGTAGTTTCTTACAACAGAATCACAGTTTTTCTCTATAGAGCTGAAAATCATTCCTACAAACTGATGAGCGTGATGTGACACAAATGACAGT